CGGACTCGGCCCTAAGTACGGTCATGCTCCCTCGGACGCGTCCGATCGAGAAAGTGCGGCTCTAGATGCTCTCTGGAAGTGATCGGACTCCGCATTGATGGAGCATCCGGTCATTCCATTGGTGCGTCAGGTCACTGGGTTGGCGCCTCGGGCGAGGGCGCGAGTGGACGTTGGGCGGCCATGTCCGATCTCGGCGTGGTGCATCCAATCGTTCATTAATTTGAGCACGTGATCGAGTTGACCGTTGGGATCGGATGGCGCACGTTTGAAGCTGTGACATGTGGTAGCAATCCCACGACCGGACGTAGGGGACCGAGTGTCCGATCGATCTTATCGGCACGTCCGGTCACCAAGCAGTGAGCTGTCCGTGGTGCCCAATGGCTCTATTTTGAGGGGACGCCTATATAAGGCGTTTGGCTGGCTCTAGCTCACACTCTTGGGCATTTGCATTGACATAGCAACCTTGTGAGCTTAGCCAAAGCCCTTTCACTCATCTCCATCATTTATTCATCATCTTTGTGCGACTAAGAGTGAATCCAAGTTCATTGCTTGAGTGATTGTATGTAGAGGCACTTGGTGTTCATGTTTTGCTGCGGGATTCGCTTGTTACTCTTGGTGGTTGCCGTCACCTAGACAGCTTGGAGCAGCGAGGATCGTTGAGCGGAGGAAGGTGCTTGTCTCCGGCTCTGATCGTGGTGATTGTGAGGGGTTCTTGACCTTTCCCCAGCGAAAAGCCAAAATGTACTCTAGTGGATTGCTTGTGGCTTGTGTGATCCTCATTTTGTGTTGGTTGTGCGGCACCCGGTTACGGGTTTGACGTGTGATGCCAATTAGCGCGTGAACCTCCAAGTGAGTAAATCACCACAACAGGGACTAGCTTGCCGGCAAGCAAGTGAACCTCGGAGGAAAAATCATTGTGTCTTGATTGTTTTCTTGGTATTCATTGATTGATCACTTGCCATGGTGGTATACCTCTCTACCACTCTCTTATATTACATTGTGCCTTTACTTTGTGTAGACCTTGTGGTAATTGAAACTAGTTAGTGTAGCTCTTAGTTGTAGTTCTCTTGCTAGCTTGCTCATCTAGGTGTAAATTAATGACTTAGTCTTGTTGTGATATACTAGAGATCATAAATTTTAGAATTGGGTAGGTGGCTTACAACACAAGTGTAGTGCTAGCGCAAAATTCGCTTCGCCAACTTATTTACTAATCACTTGCCTTAATGTTGTTGTAGATTTTTTTTAATAGGCTATTCACCCCCCCCTCTAACCATTAGGACCTTTCAGAAGTCAAGGGTCTTGAGGAGCCATTTTTTAAGCTTCGGTTCTTGATTTAAAAATAGCTCAAACTTCTATATTATTCACCAAAAATGACTTCTCTTAAAATGTTTGGTAGAGCTCCTTCCGTTCCTTTCGAGAAATTATTGTCGAAGCTGGAGTCATGCTAAACAAGCTCAAAATACGACCTTTTTTAAAATAATATTCCCCCTCTCCTTTCAAAATAAGTGCACATATTACTTATCGAGGAGTTAATTTTTTTAAAAAAAATTGACCAAATATGTACATATGTACTGATATTATGATATATAATAAGTATCATTACATTAATCTTGGAATATATTTTTATAATAAATCTATTTTAAATTACAAATATTGATATCATTTTTATATAACTAGTCAGATTTAAAATAGTTTGACTTCTCGAAAAACGAGATATACATTTATTTTAGAACCGATGGAGTAAAGGATTTCATTACGTAAAGGCACATTAAATATACAAGGCAGAGTTGTCCCCATTGAATAGTTTGAAGTGCTCTTAGCACGTTGCAATTCGGAGAGTATACAAGTGCTTCATAGAAATGGAGACTAGGGCCAAAGACATTAGCTTGTTTTGCATGCTTAGCAAAGTTGTCGGCTAATTTGTTTGTCTCTCTTTTAATCTTGATCACGGAGGGTTTAATTGGTTGCTTGCATTAGCTTTAGCCTGTATTAGACCCATGAAGCATAACCTAAGCCAGCATAAACATACCCAATGTCTTGGTGTTTGGTTGTTCCGCATTTGATACACTTACGTTTGATTGTTTGCATTTTGTTACATGTAGTCACCTCAATGTCTAGTTGAAGTCTTATGTTTCTAGTAGTGGTATGAGGGATGAGAATATTTTATTTTTGTGTGCGCCCCAGGTTGTGCAAACTGCATTATCTAATACGACCAAATCTAATGTACTAGCTAATGCAACATTAGATTTACTTGAGCAAACTTGAGGTCAATATAGATAACCAATCACGAATCAGAATGTTGTAAGTGTTGGGTGACAATTACAATTTAAGATAAGAGTGGACCCAAAGTCTGATGGCCTGGTAAAAGTTGCATCTAGCCCTTTAGTGGTCTTTGGTGGATTGAATGACAACACAATTAAAGGTCGTCTAACAAGTTTGCTAGTGTTGAACAAAAAACCGAGTATATTGTATACACTTGAAGATTGCATAACAAGAAATGTATCAAAGTTTCAACGAGAAAGCAAACTTGATGGTATTCCATATAGTATTCAAATGAAGGCTAAAATTGTGTTGTATTGAAAGATTATGGAAACAATCTAGTGCAAGCAGAAGAAAACAATGCAAATGGAGTTAGTGAAATTAAATGACTTCTATGTCATGGGATATCATGTGAAAGCAAGTATATTTGGCAAATAGCAAATGAGACATAAGTTGGTGAATATGGATTGGTCTCATATAGGTGGTGGCTTGTTTTGCACAAATAAGGAGAGATCAATAAGTTGTATATTGGTCAAGTGTTCAAGAATTGGTCAAGAATGCATAAGTGAGGAAATGACAAGCAAATGCCAAATGGTAAAGGAGACATTGTATAATGAATATAAGATGGTCTCTATGTTGGTTTGCTTGTATGGATAAAGTTTTGAAAAACCAATATGCATTAATTTGATCAAGCTAGAAGTATGAAGAACGATATTGAAGTGAGTGTCAGGAGTGTCAAGCCAAAATGAAGAGGATATAATGAATCGTAAATTGGCTTGACCATTCGATGTTGATCAAGATATGTGATCAAAATAAGATGGGTAAGTCATGTAAGATGGACAATATTTGGAGTATGACTTGGATATGGATAATGATTATTATGGGACTTTAATTGAATGCTTAATGTTGGTTCAAGATATGATGTGAGGATGGCTCGATAGGGTGAAGATAGGAAGGAAAGGGATTCGACGGAGTAAGCAAATGTGAAGGGCAAGCGATGTAGGGTTAAAGTTGGAACCGAACTTCGGAGAAACAAATCGCTTGCCGCTTTTATGTTTTTAATTGCAATATTTGCTTTCCACTCAATCTACTTTTTTGTGTGTGTTTGGGAGTGCAGGTATTTTATGGACTTGCTACTGAACATCTCCAACAGATTTACAAGTTTGGTTTATGCTTGAACTAGCGTAGTGAACTTCGTATTATTTTGTGTTGTGCAGAAGTTCCTTCGCAAAACTTCCGCGTAAGTTCCGCGTTCTGCTAATCTGTTGCGAAGTTTTGTTTGTTATTAAATTTGCATAAACGTCTATCACCCCTTGTCTAGACGATACTAAGGTCCTTTCACCTGGATGTTCTTATGGTGACCTGTTTCTAGTGCCTCTTGTCAGGATTGTGAGGATCTTAACGCATCAAAGGCCAGTAATAGCAATTGCTAGATCTTCGGCTTCCAACAAAATCCATAAAAAGTAGTATTGCAAAAGACTCATATGGTGTGAGTAGGAGCGAGACTATACGTCTCCATATAAGCAAAGCGTTTATCACAAATATCATCGAGTTCCCTATGTAGAAAGCTATATCAAAATTAGTTATTTTAATTAACTAGCTGTATATATACTCTTTAAAAATGTTGATAACTCGGGAAAAGAGTGCTAAAGTTATCTCGTTAACCAAAAATACAAATCATATAAGTTTAAATATTTTACAATCTGAGTTTTTTTTATAAAAAATGACGTCCCTTATCACAACTTAGATACATACGTGTCACACATGTTTTATTGATGGGTATAGATAAATACTGCCTTCATTTGAATCTATATATTTTTTTTTATAGATATATAGCTTTTACTATATTATTAGATACTAGCAAATTGGCCCGTGCGTTGCAACGGGACGTATAAGTTATTGTACAGTCACCTAGACAATTTGAGTCAAATATTTATTGAGTGGGTGCGTTATTTGTTGTCTTGTAATAAAACTCTTTATCATCTAGCAAACGTGTCCATGCATTATAACCGAACGTATAACTTGTTGCGCTACTATAAAGTTGACTTTAGAGACTGCTACTTTCATTTACTGAGCCGCATATATTTGTATCAAATATGTCTCAAGATACAGATTCATTTTCGAAAACTCACGTGCCATTACAGATGCTGAGGAGTCTGTGTAACCAGTTTTCAAATATCCAGTCTAGCTCTAGTAAATAAAAAAACAGTCGCAGCACTCTCTTCCATCTTCTCTTCCATGATTTTCTATCTCCATTATCTTGCACAGGCAACAACCGTCGGCTCCCCAACACGATACCACTACAGGATTAATTAACATCAAACAACTGGCTAGCACCAATTCATGGTAACAATTCAGAAAATATCTATGCACACACATATATGAGTTGAGTAGCATCTAAATCATAGCATGTTCAATACAGATATATATAGCTGGTGGATGAGCCATGGTAGGTTCACATCAAACAAACGTACCTGCACTTGAGGTCATGTTTCCAAGGATCATTTGTCACCGATAATTTGGAGTAGCAGACTTGAGTTCAGCTTCTGTCAAGGGCCTAGCTTTATGCTCCCAGTGAGCACACTGACAGCGAGGTTGCTGCACTAGACAACAGTAGGTAGAAGGACAATGCAAAGTCATCTAGGCATCTGGAGCATGGATTAGGAAGGAGACGACAATGAGAGGGGAAGGAAACGGGCATAGCAAGAAATGCCACGCTAGGAGAGTGGACGTACTCGTGTTCACAGTGCCATGTCCTGTGACTCTGATCCTAACGCCTCCAATGATGTCTTTGAGTCAGTATTTTTGTTTGAATTACATGGAACTCTGTTTGCATTAGAGGGTTTACAAAGCTTGGTGCTCCCCCTAGCCCTCCTCTCCCTCCACGCCTGCAATGAAACATAAACAATTTTAGTTGAAATGTGCCGAATCAAGTATCACAATAAAAATTCAGATCGAGGAAAATTTTTAGGCAGAGCTTTGAGGGACACAAAACCTTATATCATCTAGTAAAATAAACAGCTAAAAAGTGTCTGCACTTGCAGTTACCTATTTAACTTTTTATAGTAATTTTGCATCACAAATCTGTGTGATCATCGGGGATTGCATTTTAACAATTCAAACAACCAGACCGCCAGCATTCCAATTCACACTTGTATGAACCAAATACAAGAAAATTTACACAAATTTCAGCAAGGGTTATGTTCACAATTTTGTAAACAATAGTTACTCCCTGGAAAATAGTTTGGATTTATAACTCAAGTTTTGGTCTTGTTTCTTACCAGCTTGGTGGAAGAGACAGCTATTGGCATTTGCACAGAAGAAATGCATGTCAGGGTGGTGCACTTTACATCGCGGTCAATCTGCTCCATAATCTCTGAGTACTGTATGAAAGAAAAATTCCAATAAAAGAGCAATAAAGGAGGGCAAATCAGTTCATACATGCATCGAGCCCAATAATATATGTGTAGGTACACAGTGCATGCATGCACACTCAAAAAGATGTTTATTTTCTAAAACCAAATCGCAAAATAAGCCATGGCATAGTTGTCGGATATCGATATTAGGATATCCAAAGCAAGGAAGTTAGCGCCCGCGCTGACTTCCCCGGATGGCTCGAGACGTATTAAAAGGTCTCGCCCGACCCCCTGGGTGCGGGCTCCGTCTCGCCCGACATTGAGGCCGCGGGCTCCGTCTCGCCCGACCTCGAGGCCGCGGGCTCCGTCTCGTCCGACCCCTTGGGTGCGGGCTCCATCTCGCCCGACCCCAAGGATGCAGTTTCCGTCTTGCCCAAGGTCGCGGACTCCGTCTCGTCCGACTTCGAGGACGCGGGTTCCGTCTCGTCCGACGGGACCCATACCGCCGCCAACCACTCCAGGTCCAAGCGTATGGGCCTGGATCAAAACTCTGACACCAGGGAACAGGCTGGCACGCCTCGATGTAACACGTGGCCAGGGAACGGTGTTGGGCGTGCCGGTGTTGTTCTGCCTAATCCTCGTACGGACGCTGACAGGCGCGTCAGTTCACCACGACGTCCGCCGGGACGGAATGGAAAGCCATGACCGGCAGATGACGCCTGCGCATGGCGCCAGTGACGAATAGGGCCACGATATGGAGCCGTCCCTGTTGACATCTACAGGATCGACGGAACCCGCATGAAGGAGAAGAAGGACCCGGCAACCCTGGAAGCCTTCTTCTCTCTCTCGTTCTTCTCATTTTCCTCCTCTGTAACCCGCGCTTTCCCTTCGCCTATAAAAGGGGAAGCAGGGCGCCCCATGAAAAGGTGAGATCGGGACACAAGAGCACGACACGAGCACACGGCTGAGCGGCAAGCGAGCTCTCAGCACCCATTCACTCCTTCCACCAGAGACTTGAGATCCTCTCCCTCTCTCGCCTGTTTGTAACCCCTACTGTAAACCAAGTGCTGGTAACACGAGCAGCAGCGAACTGGACGTAGGGACGTTCCGCCCGAACCAGTATAAACCCTTGTGTCATCCGAACACACCATCTGAGCCAGACGCGCAAATACAAATTGACTCGTCGGTGGTCCGAAAACAACGACAATAGTTGGCTCAAAGATTTGATTTCTAAACCATTTTTTTTCTCTAACCACAGTGAACCTAGAATGTGGAGCAAGTATAATAAAGTGAGCCAACTGCATTATTCCGGTTCCACTTGATTCTTGCTATGAACAAGTCATACATGCTAATGTCAACACAAATACATCATAAAAACAACAACGACTGCCATATGCATAGCTCTAAAATAAGACCTCAGAAACTGCTGTTACTGACTTTAAGGTGAACTGAATTTCTAGCCATATTATAAACATAATAAAGAGTAATAGCATCGCAAGGCGCCTATATACCTAAAAAACTAACAAGCACTGGGTGTAGATAGTCATGGAGACATGAAAGCATATGATTGTCATAAAGCTCAAACCTCATTAGAAAAGAGCATCAGACTAAACTCAGCCTCCTCAGAGTCATATCCATCGTGCTGCTGCATCCACCAAATTTTGTTAACTGGTCAGAATATAATACTGAAGCAGGGGGCAGTTACCTTGTTATGTTAGCAAAAAGAATATCTAACTTGGCAGATCTATTAGTTGCAGGACCAGTGCATTTGGAGTCTGAGGATGCAAGTTCAGATTGAAATCACACTGGAGCATGACAAAATATTACTTTTTTAATGATCCTGGGAAGGAAAAAATATGAAAGTTCGTCCATGTTGCAATAACCATACCTGCCAACAGCTGAAAATATTTTCTTAATATTCTGGTAGGAGGGATCACCAGGAAGATTTTCTGCAACAACAATCCGGGACTATGAGAGGAAACCAAATGGATCCGTGCGCAGTCTCAAAGTTTATGAAATAAAGCAAGTGATGCAGAGAAATAAGTTAATACCTGGAGCTCCTGAAAAATTCCTAGACTGCTACTTAAAAACCTGTAGGCATAACTCCTTTTCTTCAGTAACATATGAAGCCAGGAACTCGAGAAAGAATAAGCATAGATTACTTTCCTACTCCATTTGTTTAAGCTTTTGTCCTTTGTTTTCAGTCAAATTCAGTAGCATAGAATGCCAGCTACATGAGAACAAATAGGCATAGTTTTATTCCTAGTTTCCTACACTGACATACCAGACCTGCTACTCAAGAGCTGGTTATTTTCTAAATCCACTTGTTTATGCCCAATAGAAGTGCAGGTATCTTCTTGGTATTGCACAAGTCATATCACCTATTGAACTCATAGCTACAACTGGTGCTGGAGATTCATTCATCGGAGCAGTTCTATATATAGTCTCTTTGCACTGTCCAGTCTCTAATCAAAATCAAAAGGAATCGGCTCCTAACCTGAACAAATGGTCTCAAGGTTGAATCGGCTACTTACCTCAGTGTGCTTTCCTGGCCGGGCAAGCGACTCATCACTCAACAGGCGCCTCCTCCCTCCTGACCTTTTAGATGGAGATCGGAGAGTGTCATGGTCTGGAGCAGCAGTTGCTGCTGGACATGCACTGACAGGATGGCGAGGCTCGACTCAGCGGCGATCACGGCGGCCTTGCCGCCGCCGCGGCGGGAGGCCATAAATTCAGAAGAATGCCCTTGTTCCACTTCAGTTCTGAAACTACAGGAGCAGACATATATAGGAGAAATCAGTGTTTATTTAAAGAAGGGAAATCAACTTACAGTGGCTGATGTCGTATCAGTCTCTTAAATTCACCAAATCCCGTGAACTGGAACAAGAAAACTTCCAGAAGTTTGCAAAGCTCGCCATGAATCTTCTTGAAAGTGCTCACATTGAACCAGCAAGCATACAATTGAGCCAAATACACATGGAAGAAGCATCGATTGAAACTATAATGCCTCTGCAAAGAGGCTCAAACCATAATCCAGGCATCTAATCGCCCAGACCCGTCCAACGTCATCTTCTTATGTCTCCCCCTCTCTTAACTGAGAAAAGTGATATAATTTCAATATATGGAACTCTCCTAATCCCTGTTGTCAATTCTAATCCGGCGAGACCTTGCAAGATCTGGTTCGAGATGCAGAGACTTCTATGTGAACAAAGATTAAATTTGTTTTTATAACAAGAAAGATTCACAAGCTATTTTATAAGGAAACAAGGGAAAAGAGAGAAACCTGTATTGAATACATCATGGAAATAGCAGACCCAATTCGATTCCGTTCTTCCTTCCAATTTCCTCATCATCAAGGACTCCTGGCGCCGCTCAGAGAGAAAGGACAACGGGACAAGGAAACCTAGCGCCGTTTGGACGGACGGGAGGAGGATGGACCGCGATGGACGCCCGGGGTGGCTGCCATTGCTGGGCTTTACCTTCCTCACCTTCAACTGCAGGCGCTCCTGGGGCAGGGAGGATCCCAATGTCCAGCCGCCGGGAGGCCGAGACGGATGAGCATCGCGAGGGCGGTCCAGCAAGCGGCGGCGCCACCACCGCGGCGAGGGAGGGGGCGGGGGCGTGGACGGCGAGCGTCGGCTGCCGGCCGCCGGAAGGCCGAGGTAGATGGGCAGCGCAACCGCAGCGAGGGAGGGGGCGGGGCCGCGGACGGCAAGCGTCGGCCGCCGGGACTCGCGCGAGCTCCGGCCGTGCGCGCGTACGGCGTACGGGAGGAGGAGCGTCGGACAGATGATTTATTTTTTAACCAAGCGAACGAGTGGAGTGGGCCGCGTATGGGCCGAAAGCGAGCAAGTGCGACAGTCGAGCGAGTGGGACAGTTGGGTTAGTAGATTGGGCCAGACGAAAAACTGCCCAACAAAAAAAGAGGTTGAAATTTTACTTTTTTATTATTAGGTATAGATATATATTATGTATAATTTTAGAATAAATGGAGCAGGGTTGAGGGTCTTTGACACGGCTCCCGTCCGACAGGCTCTGGCTCCTTCTCTCCTATGCGAAACTATGCTGTCATGTACACGTTACCTGTAGGGGCTCCGGCTCATTCAGTCGTGAGAGAGAGAGACTGAGGAGCCACACTTGAGAGGCTCCGGTGGCTCCACAGTGCAACTACAGAAGACGAAGCCGGAGTCGTCGTAGCCCCTCCAAATTCAGATACTACAATTTTTGTCCGAGAAACTAACATTTGTTGCTTACTTTTTTTTTTAGAAACACATGGGATTTCTAATTATTTTTTACTCTTATGGTGGTTGGTTCTCCGATTGCCAGCTTTACGGTACCGACTACAAAAATGTCCCAGAAAACAATAGCTCGCCTAATATTTTACCATTTTTTTTTTCGATGTGGCAAACCAGATCACCCTATCAACGTAGACTTGACGTCCGTTTGCCCAGCTCCAAACGGCGCCAGCTGCTGGCCGTCAGCTCCCTCTACTGCTAGTGGGCCCAGCTGTCAGTATCTTCTTCAAGCCATGTCTTCTTGTGTACTGTTCATCTTCTTTCGTTGAGACATGGCCATGGCCGATTCTGCGCAAGGAGCGCCCCTCCACCTCGGTCGTGCTCGGCCTGCCCTTGGCGACGAGCATCCTGGTGAGCGCGGCCACCCGCGCGTCCAGCAGCCCCATGGTTGTGACTCGTGATCGGCCCTGGCCTTGGAGCTCGGCCGCATGCACACGGCGGCGGGCCACCTCGCACTCGCCTCGGCCGCACGCCGCCGCAGAGCCGCCTCGTCGCTCTCCTCTGCCGCTACAGGCCCTGGAGCCGGTTGTGGGCCCCCTCGTGGCTCACCCAGCCCCTCGCGCACGCCGGCGGGCGGCCTCACCTCGGTCGCGCGCCGCCGCAGGGCCGCCTCGTCGCTCGCCTCTGCCGCTACAGGAGCGCACGCTGGCCGAGCTCACCGAGCTGCGCGGGCACGCCGGTGCCGCGGCGTCGACGTCCTCTTCCAGCGCGTCGCGGCTCCCTCCTCCCGCGCGCGGGCCATCCTGCGACTCCTTCCGCGCTCGTTTTCCCACTCGACCGCTACTTCCTGCTGCTCGGCCGCAGAGCTCGCGCGGAGTCGGCGCGGCGCAGGGGCGTTGCAGGGCGCGTGACGACGGCGTGGAGCTTGCTCGGCGTCGGGGCAGAGGCGGCGCGCCTGTGCTGGGGCGGAGCTCGCGCGGAGTCGGGGCGTCCGTGCTGTCCTCCTTGTTCGCGAGCTTCTGCACGATGCGGCAGAGCACCTGCACCACCATGAACGCGCTGGCCGAGTCCAGGACTTCCCCCTCCATCGGCTGGCCGTAGGCCCTGCAGAATCGGCCATGGCCATGTCTCAACGAAGAAGATGAACAGTACACAGGAGGACATGGCTTGAAGAAGATGATGACAGTTGGGCTCCACTAGCAGTGGAGGGAGCTGACGGCCAGCAGCTGGCACCGTTTGGAGCTGGGCAAACGGAGACGTCAGGTCCACGCTGGCAGGGTGATCTAGCTTGCCCATCAGAAAAATGGCAAAGCACTGTTTTCCAGGATATTTTTGTAGTTGGCAGGGCACCGCAAAGTTGACAATAAGAGAGGCAGTGGCAAATAATTAGATGTTGGTCCGTGTAAAATCTCGAGAAGCCGGCCCAACGGCCCAATCAACTGACAGCCGGTACCGGCCAGCGGCCACGCCGCCGCCGCCGGCATCCTCCCCTCCGCCTTCAAGGTGCTCCCTCGCTGCCATCCTTCCCCCGTCCGACCTTCCCGCTGCCTCGCCACCACTCTTTCACCCACGCTTCCATCCGTCTCAGTCCTTCACTTCCCCCTGCTCCTTGTCCTTGGACGTCCTCCGCGCCGCGGAGGCAGCTCTCCAGCTGTTACAATGGACGACACGGAAGCCGCCAAGAACACGGCCACCACCGGCCCCACTTTTGCCTCTCCTCTCTTCTCCTTCTCCAACCCCGGCGGTGCTTCCTTCGGCTCCGGCTTCGGCGCTCCTCCGCCTCCCCCGCCGCCGGCCGTTGAGGTCCAGCTCTGCGAGGTACTTCTTCTTCTCCATCTCTTTTCTGCTTATTTCGGCGTTCTCGCTTTGGGTGATAGCGTTAAAGGTTGCTTGACGATCTTGCAGGAATCGCCCGTTGCGGCAGCTAGGCTGGAGCCGGTCGTGGTCGATGACTCCTTGACGATCTACAAGGTGCGGTAGCTAATGTGCTTGTTCGCTCGCTTCCCTTGTGTTCGTGGAAATGCTTCTCTCACTGTAAGAACTGTGCAGTACTGCCAAGGGAGAGGTGATAAATGCATAAATGGAAAATTCTATATGCATTTACTTATTTTCTCTGCCGAAGATACCAAGTTCAAATTTCATATATATGTACATGATTAAAAAAAACATCATCTGACAAATCAATAGGGGAACAAGAAAGAAGACAAACACAATTATTATTACAAAGTTTATCTCTTTTACTTATTATTACGAAGTTTTGAGTTTCATGTTTCAAAGTCGTGCTACCCAATGGAAGTCATATCATACATAAAAAAAAATCATGTTGAATTGATGCCCAGACTAACTGTTAATTGCATGATTGCACCTCAAGATATGATTGAATTTGGCAATGTTGCCTTGCTGCAAAAACTTCATTTAGCACATTAGTTATTTGGCACATCTGAGAAGCGGCAACAGTGTCTTCAATCGCTTTATCAATCTTTTCTTACCATATGCTGCTGAGAATGATGCAAGTATCAGGCGCTGGAAACATTTGCTTCTATACAAGTGCTTTAGCATGCCAATTGAGCATCACTGTATCTTTTGCGCACCAAGTCGTGCTTATGCAAAAATTGGCATTTGGAGTTCCCAACTTCCCATTGGTTAACTGTAGTTTTAAGTTACCTTCATCATCAATACTTTTTTCAGAAAATTGTGAAATAGTAGGTCTTTGCCATTATGGAGCACTGGATCACGTAGGCAGTACCCAGTGCTCAATACTCAATAGAGACTTCACAGTTCACAATAAAGGAAAAATAGATCCTGCTGGAAAAATGAAGACTTCAAGCACCCATCTTCTCTCCTATCCCTCTCTCCTAAATCAAATAAAAAGGAAAGAGGTTTTCTTTTAGCCTTGAAATAGTTGCCTGACCAACTCTTTGGCTTCTGTTCTTGGTAGGCCAGAGAAGTAGGTGACATTGCACATCGACACATTAGCCAACAACTGTGTTTTTAAGTTGATTACTGATGTTTGACAAGGTTTTACCCATGGGTGGTTCTCAGTCTAGTATGTGAACCAGGGAGCCAAAGGGGAAACCACTTTACTCGCTCTAGCTATCATTGTTTGGGCCCATGCATCGCGAGTGGGAAACACAGGGCTGGCGGTATAGCCCATTAGTGTTAGGGTTAATTAGAGATAAGGGTCGCTTGCTTAAGGATCAAGTAAGCCTTGCTTGGCCGTCAAGTAAACCTCTCTATATAAGGAGGGGAGATGTATCAATCTAATCAAGCAAGAATTAAGAAGGAAATCCCTTCCCTCTTGCTCGGCCGTGGGCAAGGCCCCTTGCCGGCTTTCTCTCTCCTAGCCCCAGCCGCCGCATAACAGCCGCTGCAAACAGTACCCGCGAGTACTGTAGCACGGCAATTGCCGCCGCTCCCTTGACTCGCCCTCCTGAACCCTAGCAGCCACATAACATCTGGTATCGGAGATGCCATGTTCCGATGAGCCGCTGCCGGATCCCTTCGCCAAGGTGCTGGCTGACATCTACCAGCAACTGGTGTCTCTCTCGGCGTGTCAGGCGTCTCTCTTGGCGCGTTTGGATGCTGTGGAAGCCCGACAATCGGTGACCACCATCACCACCATGCCACCGGTGTTCCCCTTGGCTTGCCTGGCTATGGGCCGGCGACCCCCCACTATCACCATAACAGGCGCCCAGCAGATCCAAGCTGAGGGCGAGAAGTTGCAGCAGATTGAGCAGCCGACAGACATCACGACGAAGCCGGCAGGATAGATGCTTACCCGCCAGGTGTCGGCGGCGGTGCGCATGCAGGCTGCTGCGCGCGGCCTCCTAGCGCGTCATTATTTGCCTGGCCTCAAGGGCCACGTACGTGACCTCCCTCTCTCCCTCACGCTCGCCTCATGCACGCACGCCGCCGCCACCACAGTTCATCACCACGGCTCCCTCCCGGAAATTCCGACCTCGTCCTCCCATCTCATATCCGTATTCTCTTCGCAGCCATGGTAGGATCAAGGATCCTATCAAGGAAGATGATTGTAGTTGCTTATCCAATAGTTTTAGACACTTAGACATAATATTGTGAATTTCATTTTTGCAACATCTGAATGAGGCTTTGGGCCCATGCCTGTGTACACCGCTGGTCATTGATATCTCCTTGTGATGATGTTAAACTAAATCAATTTTCTTTCTCAAACTTATTAGGGGAGAGTGAGTACATCTGATGTGTTTGGTGTCAAAGACTCTGATTTGGTCCCAGGAAAATATGAAGGTGAAGACTAAACACAGTTTGTTCTTTACGTCATATTTGTATTTATTTGGTTCTGTGAACTTGAGCATAACCATGGGCACCAGGTGGGTTGAAGCTGTGGGAAGGTTCATTAGACTTGGTGAAGGCCCTGAATTCTGATATCAAAGAAGATAAACTGGGTCTAGAAGGCAAACATGTATTAGAGGTGCAATGCTTGCTCTCAGGTTCATGGTTATGAATGTACCATGTGACTCTCTGATTGTTAATTAAATTCTTTTTCTACTGAAATCACTGAGACTTACTTTTGGTGCAACATTTCCTCTTTTCTGTAATAAGGGATGCAAGCGGCTTTGTCTGTGATCCTGCAAATATGCCATTTTTATGCGGGTTCCTGCATTTGCGGGCTCACAGACAAGCCTTGTATCCCACAGTGTATATATACTTGTGAACAAATGAATCTGCACTGATAATCTGTGGTAGAATGTCCAAGTGACCAAATTTTTCGACAGAATTATTCAATGAAACAGTTGTAAAGTAGGAAACCAATGTGTTATAAGCAAGCTACTTATATTAGCTACTTTATTTTGATTTTTTAGCTTGGATGTGGACATGGCCTCCCTGGCATTTTTGCAGGTCTCAAGGTATTTCCCTTGATCCTTTCCTTTCTGGCATTTTCAAATAATTCCTCGTGTATATTGATTTTTCAAAAACTCGAACTGTCAGGGTGCTGACCTGATTCATTTCCAAGATTTCAATGCCGAGGTGCTTAGGTGCTTGACTATACCAAATGTAAAAGTCAATCTTTTCAAGGACTCATCTGAAGGAACATGTACATCTCGGATTTTTGGTTTCTTTGCTGGTGATTGGAGTGAAATGGATAAGCTACTACTTTGCGGGGATGCTGAGCAAGACAAAATAGCCAGTGGTGATACAGAAGGTAAAATGTGTAATGGTTATGATATCATCCTGATGGCTGAGACTGTCTACGCGCTATCTTCTCTTCCAAATCTCTACAGGCTTATCAAGAAGGTCAACATTCAAAATTTTCATTTTGCTGAATATTCTTTCTCAAACATTAGGATTTGCTTAATATCGTCTTTCTTACACACTGAAAGCTTTCTGCAGTGCTTGCGCTACCCTGGGGGTGTGGTTTACATGGCAGGGAAGAAGCATTACTTTGGGGTAGGTGGTGGCACAAGGCAGTTTCTGCGCTTGGTTGAAAAAGATGGTAAGTTCTCTGTTTTTTCTGACTAGAGCTGTTAATCAACATGATTTTTATTCATGCACCCCATACTCCATACCTGGCTTCCAGTAGGATCAAATGTTCGTTTTGCAAACTTGTGGAATAACAAGTTTGGGAAATCATATTTGCTGCTACATGGTGATCGGATCGTTTTTGTTTCATTTTCTCTTTCTTCTACATACAATCTTATCTAAATCATTGAACATATTCAACTTTGACTGATACTATGTACAGAACTATTTAGATTGCTGACATGGAAATATTACTATCAATCAGTTTGATTTGTTAAGTATTTTCAAAGTATAAGGGAAGGTATTTTTTACTACCATATTACTACAAATGATGTTTTTTCCCCCGAAAAGATAGCGAAAGTTTTGCTTTGCCGTAAACATTGTTAGAAGAAGGGAAACCGGGCCTAAAAACTATACAATTAGGGGTTGAACCCGCACAACTTGGGTTCACAGACAGCACAACTAGGGGGTTCGCAACCGCATCCCCAAACATCTTCGATCAGAAGACCAAACAACAATGTCGGGCGCCACAACTCGCTCAGGAACTCATCACTAAGCATGACGCAACCCAAGCAACAACTCAAAGCCAACTGTATAGGAGCAAAACACCTAGGAGAAAAAGAAAACCTTGACAAAAACCAACCCAACGAAGCTGAACCAAGGTGCTGGAAATGCTTGATGACGTGTTTAGGAAGGGAACGATGCCAACCCAAACAGGTTTGGGTTTTCACTTGCAACAACCGAGTGTATGCCAAGAAGGCACCTCCAAGGAGGAAGCGATGTTTGCAGATGTTGCCGTCCAAGCTTTCTCCTCGACCTCAACTGACCCAACCCCAACAGGGTGGCCAGAGCATGAGCTCGCCCGGCTACACTCCCACAGCTGCAGCCTGTTGTTGCCACGCCACAGCGGCCACGAACCCTGTCACTGGACGTTGAAAGTACCGTTGGCTGATTTGTTGTGAGAGAAAAATATTGTTCGTTGGTTGAAAATGTACGGCTTATAAGACAAGCGAACAGGGCGATACGTGAGCGTTCCTTCTATATCACCAAAACATCAAGTAGTTAGAACTTAGAATGTAGATTATCCATTCTTATATGATATTCTACATGCCATAAACAATGGATAATATTATATTTTTTGTTGATATGAGCATAACTGTAGAGTACAAACAGTTTCTGTTTCTCTGGACCTATCATGTGGATTATGTTTTACTTTTGCACACCATGTGGGATTCAAGTGTTGCTTTTACTAACTTTTGGTTGTTCTCAGGCGCCATGCAACCTGAGCGGCTCAATGATGTTGCTGATGGATCATCCAATGTTAGGGAGGTTTGGAGATTCTCATTCAAATAGATTAGCACTGCCCTTGTGATTGTCGGGGGAACTGAAAACATGTACTGGACTCCATACTGGTTGAGAGAGAAGTCTTATAAGAGTTCCTGATTCTGTTAATCTACCTGTGACTGTTTCAAAAAGCTGATCTTTTTCTTTTGGAGCACTGCTTTGCTCTTGAAGACTAAAAAAATTGCTTTACCTCTGGTTTCTGTTTGTTAAACCTGTTTAACCTTTCCTCTGAAACGATGAATTCTCCATGATATTCTCACACTTGCTCTCAAATTGCCCTCCAGCAATAGTATCTCCTTTGTAGATTAAAAGCGTCACTTTCCACTGAGCATCATTGCGAAGATTCCTGATAGTTCCAATGGCAGACACATCTGATTGAGGCACACCTGACAAGTCAAAAAAAGTGCGCAAGGACAAAATTCTACCCCAGATGCTTCACCCTCAGATTTCTATCTGAAATGATACACCAGGCTGGCATGGGGCCATGGGACTCATGGCACCAAGAGGAATGTTTTCCGGTAAACACTCGAGAATGCACCCCAGCAGAGCACAAGACAGTGAGAGGTGTGAATGCAGTAGGGACATGGATGTGAAAGGGTGGTCATAGCCCCATGTGATGCATGGAATCAAGCATTAGGGCAAGCTTTGTCCCTATCTCCACGTTTCAGTGCTGCTAATCCTTCAACATGGCACAGCCTTTAGGGGGTCATTCCATGTGGCCTACTGTTCCAGTCCTCCGTGATCTGTTTGTACCCTCCTTGTAGTGTCTATATCTCCTGCCTTGCAGCTTTTGCAGTGAGCTACCATGATGGGTTTCTTCCAGGACACCGGCGTGGGTGGCGGCAGCCGGACAGCAAGGTTTCTCCAGTACCAGAGGCTGGAGTGCTGGGACGATGGGGCCGCTGCTCCCAGTCCCAGGTCCCGGTGGCGGTGGCTGCCGGCACTGAATGGTAAGACGGCTTCCCCCTGTTTGTTCAGTGTCAAGAGGCTGAAGTGGAGCAAGATCACCTCGGTTCTGATCCCAAGGAAGGTTGCTGAGTTATCTGCAAAGATCCGTCACGCCAGCGCCAGGACGGAGGCCGACGTGTGCCCGACCGTCGTCTTCATGTCACCATGGGGGCTCCCTGTGCTCTCCCGGCCGCTCTTGGTTGGCCACAAGAGCAGGTATCACCATGGAAAGGACACCTTCTGATGAGCAGGTAGTACCCAATCTGTATTCCTGGCGATGATGTTGATATATGTGCGTGTATGTATGATATATGTGGCGAGCTGGTTGGTCATGTAGGCTGTGTATTAATCCTCATTTTGATTTCTGCAATGCTTGTGTCGTGCTGCTGCCTGCATCTGAGTTTTAGATCCGTGACTGTGATGCCAAGCTTCACTCCCTCCAGCAGAGGTCTCATTTTGCATTTCTGCTGACCTTTCGATTGATTGTTGCCAATCTTGTGCCGCTATAATCCGGAGCAAGAGTTCCGTGTTGTCAGTCTTGATCTGTCAATCTTGTGCCACTCCCTGGCTATAACAAGGCTATTGGCCGAGCAAGCCATTCATGTGCTACTGGAGGTAATGAACTTGTGTTGATCTTTGCTCTGCTTTTTGGTGGCAAAAAATATAAAAAAAAATCATGGATCAGATGATCTATTCGGCTGTAAAGATGATCTTATGCTTGGGCCAAAGGCCTTTCTGAATGCAGAAATTTCACATGATTTTCGTAGAAATGACACAGCGCGCCCTATAAATCGAGAAAAAGAAGAATCCTGAATCGCTCTAGGAATTTTACATTAGGGACAGAAAATCGAGAGGAGTCAGTCCGGCATTTCGAAATGGCCGTGTGCAAGCCGTCCGATTCTCCTTCTATTGATTCTTTTCCCATATGGATCCATGTGTCTTTGGAATTCATTTATTTCTTGCAGGGGTGGCTTGTTTTGGCTGTCACGTGGAGACATTCGTGTTGTGTGATTGATTGGGTTAAACCCGAGGTCTCTTGCGGGCCGGCTTCTCAATAAAGGCTCGGCCCATGCAGACAATGCGTAACTTATGGGCCGGCCCAAGTACCTAAACGACAGGCCAGAGGGACGATCCAATTTCCGACCAGAATGTCTGCCCAAGGAGGAATGACACCCGCTTCTGACTCTGGTCCGCCTCTCTGACCGCAGCGCTCGCTTCGGTCTCCAGCCCGCCTCCGGACGGCCTCTCCGACCGGAAGGCCTGGCCAAACATCGCTTCCGACTCCAACCCGCGTCTTCGACCGGGGATGCGCCAAACCCCTGCTCACTGCTCTTCTCCGACTGGCGCGATCAGAGCCGACTCGGACCAACCGACCGGGGACGCTCACTCGGTAAGGACCATGAAACGGATGGAGAAAGTAAGACAGGACGCACAAGTCAACCGCAATACCAGGGACCGTACCCTGTACACCTACAGAAAATAGTACTCTGCGACCTCCCTGGCACGACAGAACCTAAGCAGTGTTGTAGGCGTCGATATTTTTCCCTACAACATTGTGGGCGCCATTAACTCCCATACAATAAGGCTCCCCCTACATGTCTGTGGGCAACGACAGTGTTGTGGGCATCGGCATTTACCGTACCAGGCGAACATGCTAAAACCCCTTGCATGCCTCCAGGTATCAACAGTGTGGCAGGCGCCGACGACTGCCATACCCGAAGAAGACAACACAACCTCCCACGTGCATCTAGCATTCAACAGTATTATGGGCGCCTACCATCATCCTGTACCCGCCGGTGTGGGCAATAAGGCTCAGTAGCATACGTACTCCCTCCCTCTCACTTGTAAGGCCATCCACTTTATCTATAAAAGGGGATGCGCTCTCTCCCAACAGGTAGGTTCATTCGATTGATCAGTTCACTAGTCCACAACAATAGAACCTCCAGGTTCAAACCACGAGCACACACTCAAACACTTAGCGCATAGCGGGACTCCTGTCACTCTCGGCTCCTCTGACCAGAGTCCGACCGGACCTCTTGTACCCCCCATCTTTCTCCTTCTCGTTTGTAACCCCACTGCAAACTTTGAGCACCTGGGCTCAGGAATAAAGTCACCGACCGACTCAAACTGGACGTAGGGCACGTTGCCTGAACCAGTATAAACCCTATGTCATTGAGTGCTAGGCCACCTCCGATCACAACGTACGGCAAAACTACAAATATTTACGTGTTGGTCACTTTCTCCACCGACAGTTGGCGCCGTCCGTGGGGAAGACGCTGTACGTTCAACACTTTTTGGTCATCGGATGGCCCACTTTTCCGCCACCTTCGCCATGGCGGGCTCAAGCGATATGACTCGCTTTGGCTCACTGGAGTTTCCTGCACTCCCACTTGTTGGGATGTGGGTTCCACACATCTCCGAGCCATCCTAGGCCTTCCTCTTTAAAAGCCTAGACTTCTTCGCCGACCGGCTCGGTGTACTACACCTCCGCGAGGAGGCACTCATTCCAGCGCCTGTCGGAGGGGCACCCTCCATCGGCTCCGGGACGCACGACGACTTCAATGACAAGGCACCTGCGCTTCATTCCGAGGAAACTCTCTGCTCAAACCCCGCTGTGAGTAATGTACATGCTGTTATTTACTTGCTATTCTCTATCTTCCACTGATTATCCGAAGGGACCCCGTTGTCCCCGCCGCGACCGCCATGCGACCGGTTCCCCTACGACCTCACGTCCCCCGCGGATGCGGACGCCTGGGGGCTTCGAAGATGCCGTCGCCGCCCCCTCTCACGTCCAAATTCGTGAGGATGGCGAGCTATGCTCCCACCTGTTTCCTCAACCCCATGGATGACGATGTTGAGAGTGACGGCTCCAGCATCGGTGACGTGGCGCCTAGCCACCGTCCGTCCAGGTAGTGCGCTATGGTGGACGCTCCGGGACAGCCACCGGTGGTAATGGAGTCCTTGCAGACTCACACCCCTCCGGACCCTCGTGTGGAGACCCCCACGCTCACACGAGAGCACGGCGAGGACTACGACAACAGCGGTTGAACCAGCCGCCGACTGCGCTAGCGCGCTCGGCGCACCACATTGTGCCCTGTGCGCATAAACCAGCGAGCGACGCTCAGGGTCACGCCCGTTGGGTCTAGCGCAACACCATGGACGGGGGGGACGATCCCCCACAGTTCGCTCGGGCCAATCAGAACATCGCCGCTGCGGCAATGCTTCTGCGCGACCTTCCCGAACCGAACGACCCCTAGAAACAGGCAATCCACCGGAACCTCCGGGCACTGGTGGAGACCATCGCCATTCAACAGGCGGAGACCTCCGCATCGCGACACCGACTCGCGGCCTCTCTCCCCACCAGGAGAGTGGGGACGCACCAGACGAATCGCTCCACCCGCTCACTGCTACGACCACCGAGCACGGCATAGGAGGCCGCATCTACGCCTCGTCTTGACTTGGCGACCGCTCCGCACCGACCGCCTGTACACGAGCGGCTCGGGCCAAACCAAGACGCTCGCAGTGTCATCAGCAACCGGAGTCCCAACCCGGATGGTCTAGGACCACGGGCCTTTGTCCGACACATCTAGGGAGCGCCGCTCCCACCGTGCTCCAACGGAGGCCGAGGCAAAGACAAAGCTAAGCACCAGGATCAGGACGAGGGCCCCTCCACGCAGAGGGGAAAAAGAACAGAAAAGATCACCACCGACCGGCCAACTCTGCGTTGGTCGCCACGGCTGATCACACGGGTGAGCAGCCCCAGCAGGACCTTTCGGGCCACTTCAACGAGCTCATGGAGAGCTCATGCACCAACCACGCCTACCCCATCAAACACCTCTACAAGGATTGCGAGCTCCTCTAGCGCCTTCTGTGACAGGCTGGCGGGCCGAAGGAAGAAAAAGGCGAAGAAGAAGCAGCCAAGAAAGGGGGCGTAGCGGGCAAGGATCCGAACGACTGAAGGTCGAGGTGATCCGACCGGACGCCTACCGACTGAAGGACGACAATGATGACATTCTCACAAATGCTTGGAATAGCTGTGTCGTTTTCTTCCCCTAAAATTCAGTCTTGTCATTGTTTACTTAACGTTTGCTCCTATAAAAGCGCCCTAACCCGAACACTTTCGGCCCGAGTCGCTCGGGGGCTCCACGAGGGTGCACTACTACCTCTCTTTTTGTTTACTGGCACATGGTAAAATTCCTTCCTACCCGAACAAAAGGGTAGTTTATTCCTTTAAATTACCTTACGTAGCTTTGCTTTAAAATATTCCGACCGATCGCACCCCGCCTCTACCTACGGTTACGAGCAGCTGAGCCTCATGGGCCACACCCGGGATCCTAAGGTTGCAGCCTATGGGACGAACGGGCAAGTACAAAAAAGAAAGAATAAAAAACAAAATTATGCTAAGGTAAAACTAAGGAACGAATGGGACATGCTTTCCCGAACGGAGTGACTCCATCACAAAAAATGAAACCAATTGTAGTCATTGAGTACACAAGAACGTTTACACGGGGGCTCCTCCACGAACTTAACTTTTTACATCTGCTAAACTACTTATACTTTACAAACTATTGGGGCTGCCCGGTGGCATCTGTTGTCGGTGCGACCGACGAAGGCATGGGCTGCTCACTCCCCGGCTGGACGACGTTCGGCTCGGTTGAAGGCAGGACGATGTCCACTTCCGACCTAGGCTCCGCGCCATCCATAGGCTGGGTGACATCCTCCTGACGCATGCTTCTGATCATGTCCGCATGATGAACATCCATTACCCATTGCGCGGAGACTTGCTCCGCCAACAACCTTGCGTGTGGCAGCAAGCTCTCCCCGAGCGACTGGATGTCCTCCGTGCTACAGCTGTCGGCATACCCACTGCAGATGGTGGCGAAGTCTAGGTTTGGGTGGTACGTCGCCACCGAAGTCAACACCCCCGACGCTCCGTAGAACAGCCCATGGGTAATGAGGGTCCGAACCTCATCCGAAACCTCCGCCAGCCGGATGGCGGGCGCGCTGGTACTTGACGCCGACCTGAAAGACCTCCGAGATGACGAGCTGGGCAACATTGCGGATCTGGTCAAGTTCCCCCTCGAGAGCACGTTGCTCCTCAAGGGACTTGGCCAGCACCTCCGCATTCCAGCCAAACGTCGCCTTGGCCGTCTCTAGGTCCCACTCCAATGACTCTACCTTTTCGCCCAGCTCTGGAAGAAGGGCGACAAGCCCTGAAACAAGCTAAAAGAAGAAACCAACATG